AGGTTTTGGATCAAGAACCTATGATCTGGTTGAGGAGTTGCTCTTCTGGAACGTAGATTCTTTCGAGTGTTTTCCCTATCTTTTTCTCCCAAAGCGAAACAAGATCATTGAATGAGTAAGTGTTCAACGGTGGCCTAACGTATAAGATCTTGTTCAGAGTTCTTGGATCATCTATGGCTTTGATTGTGTAAGCCGCAATGTCTTCTTCCTTGTTGAACACAGCTGCAAAATATCACCAAAATTCAAAACACAAGCAAACTTACAAGATTCTAACAAATGTGCTTAAAGCTCTTATCACTGTGGTGGATCGTTAGAGAATTTGGCACTAGATTTGCATTAAGAAAAAAAAGGGTTCTCTTACCTTTGGGGTTTCCATCACCCAAAACGATGACTTTATCTCGAGGAGCAGAAGTAGCACCGGGCTGAGCTAAAGTTGGGAGGAAGTAACCGGCAAAGAAGTTGCAAGAGACATAAGTGTATGGAATCCCTTCGGCCTCGATTGTTCTGCGGATTCTTGCCTTTGTAGCATAGGCTGATTTAGCAGGTTCAACGCTCTGAGCACGGTCTACGTCATTTCCAAACTCCGAGGGAAAGAATCTCTGAGATAAGATATGAACAATGGTGCATTAAATCAAGCAAATCAACAAAACAATCAGCACATGTCATTCTATACATATCATCAGCAACATAAAGCCCACAAAAATGTTCTGCAATTAGTGATACAACATTCAGAGTCTACAACTTGTGACCATGAGGATCAAAACTAAATACAGCAATGAAATTTGTTAACATGTAATGATATTAAACATATTCAAAATTGAGGATTCAACAAGGCAAACTCAACACAAAAGAAATTAGATTTTCAATTTATTTATACCTTAACATTACCAGCTTCCTTAATGGCAGATATGATCTTGTCTTGATGTCCCAAAAGCGAATGTCCAACCGTCGATATCACAACATCTGCTTGCTTAATCGAATTCACAAGACTCATATGATCATTAAGATCTCCCTATCAAATTTCCAGCAAAAACCAGAATCAACGAAACATTAAAACCAAATTACGCATTTCCTTCTCGCAGAATCTAATCCAATAAAAATTCCGAAATTGAGGGTTAGAGATTACGAACGAGTAGAAACTGGACACCGAGATTCTTGAAATTCTCGATGGTGGTTGATCTTGAAGGGCTAGTGAGTGTCGAGTTTCGAACGAGAACAAGTGTTGGGTGACCAGATCTCGCGCTAGCTTCCACTATATATTTTCCGATGTAACCAGTTCCTCCGATGAACAGAATCTTGCTCTTATTCGCCATTTTTCTTGTCGGATTGAAACTCAGTTTTTTCGCCGGAATTTTACAGAAGAAAATTGATCCGGAATTTCTGATTTGAACCACTTAAAAAAAGAGAGAAAATATGCTTTTGGAAATGACAATAATACCCCCCAAAGTCAACACTTGATCTACTTTTTAGTCAAAATTTGCATGCAATTGTTCGGTTTGGTTGGTGAAATTTTCTTTTTTTGGTAAAGGGTTTCTCTTAAGGCTGGTGAAATTGGTGGCCTTTTTTTGTAAGATTAACCCGCGCAAAACCCAGATTAGTGGGCCATAGTGAAGGCCCATTTATTTTAAAGCCCACTTTTCGTTATCTTCTACAACTTGTTCTTCAAGGCTTTTATTGCGTGTTCAAGCTGATTGTTGATAAGCAAGAACCGACTGTGTATGTATGTATAATTCGTCGACTCTTCTCGAAAATAAGAAAACTCTAGAAGCAAGAAGAGAAACATTGTGGAAGGTAATTTTTTTTATCCCGAAAGCTCTTCTTGTTCTTCGATCTCTTTCCTTTTTTTTTTGGTGGTTAAGTTCGAATTGATAGAATCATCTCAGGAATTCTGTTTGTCTTTTGCGGAATCGTTGATTTTTTTTTTTTTTTKGGTTCTTCGTTTTCCTCTTTGGCATTTGATCGAACATTTGGTGGGTATCTTTATTATTTTTAGTATTCGTTGTTTTGGATATGCTTTCGATTTGATTTTTAGCAACACTCAATGATCAATTTCGGTTCTCTTCTAGTTTTTGAAGAAATTTTAGCTACTCTTTATAATTCATAACTGTTCTTGGTTGCTCTGTGTTTACTTGGGTTGAATTTTGTTTAAGATGTTTTCCTTTGTGTTGTTTTTCTTTTGCAGGCACTATAATGGAGACCGAGAAAAATCAAACTGAAATCCCTTCGAAACCGGCCGTGAGTTCATGTAGGAAGAAGGTGAAAGATGATGCTACTTTCTTTGAGGACGTGAAGGATCACATTGATGAGTTCATACATGCCTCAATGGACGAACACAAGACTTGTTTCCAAAAGACCATCCAGAAGGTTCTTTCTCAACTCTCTTATATAGCTTAGATTTTTGGTCCTCGAAGATAGTATCTCTTGCATGGATTTGGCGTATCTGGTTGTGTGTTTGGTAGAAGTCACAGCTTGTTGTGTTTCAGACTTGAAATCATAAGAGATTTTCCAATACATTTGCTATGGTTTGTGGTTTCTGAACATTGAAACATTGAGCTTTTGAAACACATGATTATCTATCTGACAAGTGAGAAGTCTTTATCTGGTTTGAGATGTGATTCCTGGCTTCAAGCAAATATACTTCCTTGTTTGGTGATCATCTATCTCTTAACTTAACGCTTATGTGTGTTGATTTCAGATGTTCGGATTATCGAAGGCTGTGGCAGAGAAGCAAGCCGAGGAAGCTAAGGGAGTCGAGAGTCAGTTACCTCTTCAAACAACAGTGGTGGAGTAAAGAATTAGGTCCTTCTCAGCCTGTGATGATGTTTGATGTGACAAATGTCGTTTCTCTTGTTTAACATCATATCACGGTTTTTTTTGGTAAATCAACATTATCAGTGTCGTTTCTACAATCTCCATTAACAATTTAGAATGTAAAACAATGATATGATGTTATTGATCCGATTCTAGCATCTCCATATACAATTGGTAATTGGCTTGTTTAGCTTCACTACATGACTGCAAAACAATGAAGCCTTCGACAAGAATCTACAATAGATTGGCATATTTGATGCAACTGGTAGAAGTAGAACTATTAACGCACCAAACTTTGGAGGAAATCTTTGTCTATATGTCTGAACCAAATTTGATTCAAACATTTCAAAAGCGTTTGGTTTAATCTGTTTAAACAACTGGTAACATAGCTATTCATCAAACAACAAAACCACATATATATAGTTGTACAACAAAGAAACAAGGGTGAAAAGAGTACTCAGCATTTAGCCTAGTATCATGCTTCCTCTTGATCAGACCAAGCTGCTCCAATACTTAGAGCTGCAACATACAAGAACAAGATATATGGAAAGGTCAGGTTGACTGATAAACCATTAGAACTAGCAAACATATCAAATCCTTAGAGATGAACAAGAAAGCAATTAATGCATTTTCACAGAAACAACAATCAATATAACCAGAGAGGTAATGATGACACATCACTAAACCAAGGTTATTGATGGGAGTCAGAAGCATACCTTTACAATCCCTAACATGGGGTCATCAAATTGTTACAGCTAGAGATTGTACGATGGTGCATGGATCTTTCAAAGAAACCGCAAGATAAGACACCAAGATCGTCCCCCAAACCTCTCCTCCTCTCCATTCCAATTCGATCTCTGTACACCGAATTTCTGTGTTATACTTCTTCATATTATACAGAATCACAAGTTTTCCACCACGATTCGCCATTCGAGAACCATCAGGCTTCTCAGGAAGTTCTTCGAGACCCTTTACATAACACCAAACCCTCGCGATTGGATCGAACATGAATATTTTATTCTTTTCACCAAAAGTATACAACTTATCATCAATGACACAAGAACCAACACTCCATTGTGTGTCCACCAACCTGTCACTCCCCAATCTACCTTGTTTAGGATCATAAACAAAGCTATTCTTCCGATCCATTATGTAAACATTACCACCTACTACAAAACTTCTGATCGTTTTCTCGTACACTTTCACATTATACAAACCTGTTACAGACTCCCAAGTGTGCGTCTTGAGATCAAATGCTTCGACCCAATTCGAAGACAGAGGACTACAACCTCCGATTACATATAACTTCCCGTCGATGATTCCGGTGGCGGCGCAGCCACGTGCCTGCTTCATACTAGGGAGGAATCGAAAGGTATTAAATGGACATTCGACGACTAACACGGTAGAGACCAATTCGTCGTTGATGCATCCACCAATAACATAAATCTCAGAATCGATTGATACAATTGACATTCCCCAGCAAGGAATCGAAGGAAACGAAGGAATCGGAACCAACCTATGGTTAATTCCGGTCGATTCAGGCTCATTTTCTAAGGGTTTGGGATTGAGAGAGTACCATCGAGGGGTTTCTGTAGCGTGAGATCTAAGTACAACGTAAAGTACATGTTCATTGCGGCGAAGTACTGACCGTTCGATGTAGATCTCCGGCGAAGCGATGAGTCGCCTTAAGGTCCTTGAGACGAGTGAAATCGCCGGGAAGTAACATCTCGGTACTCGTGCTAAGCAATTCACAACGATTTCATCAGGAAGTAGTAACAGAGGGGACGGATCTGGAGCAAACAATTTCTTCTTCTTCGGCGGCGGTTCTCCGGCGATCGAGACACCGGGACTCGCAGCGGAAACAAACATAGCCGTCGCTATGAAATGTCAATCGCGAAAGAAGAATGA